CCCTCTCAAAAAAAAAAAAAAAAGTTTCCAAACTAAAAACAAAGTTAAATAGGCTTGTGTAGCAAGGATTACTGATTAGTTAACATAATTAGATGTTTATAAACTAAAAAATGTCCCTTCCTGTGGAAGGCCAGAAGTGAGATCACCAGATCCAGAAGTGAGAACACCGGGAAGTGAGATCACTGTGGGCAGTTCACAGAAGTGAGCCTGTGTACATAAGCTGTGCTGTGAAATAAACCTACGTCACTTGTCCACCACCAGCGGCCTGTGGACCTCCTGACCCCAACTTTGATTTATTTCTGTGTCTTTCTTGCATCTCCCACCCACTCCTCTCAGGTTCAGGTGGTTTGCAGAGCTGGTCTCAGCAACTCCCAAGAGAATGTGGCAGTCACACTTTCTTGTGACTGAGTACAAACAGAAACAGATTAACATATTATTCAAAGAAATACCTGACAGTGCCAGAGACCCGCACAGGTACCTATGGAAGCTCAGAACAATGAACTAATAGGACTTACCTGTAATAAGAGCATCAGGTCGGGATTGCTCTTTTCTCCAAGCAGGAACAAAAACTGTAACATCTTTGTGGCCTCTTTCCAAAAACCAATCTACTGCCAACTTTATTCCTCGGCAGGAAAATACTTCTTTGTTTCCATGGCTGAAAGATTATTTTAGAACACTTAAAACACAACAAAACCTAAATTCAATTTAGTTAATTCAAATGTATAAAGAGAAATGATCACATAATTACATAATAGTAATAAAATACAATTAAATTTCAAATTTAAGATGGAATTTATAGCTCAGAGAAATACTGGCACAGTTTAAAAGTTGAATGTGAGGAAAAAATAAGAAAATAGGAATTATTGTATGGAGAATAAAGAAAAGTGAGTTTTCAAATGTAAAGCTGTAAAGGTTAACTAGTCAGAAAGATAGGGGTCTCAACAATAGCACGAATAATTTCAATCAAATGTAAGAAAAAGAAGTCACATAGAAAAAAATCTGTAAAAACACTTGAAAGGAATACTTGTGAGTTTTCTAAAAATGTCCTTTTCAAAGAGTTGTTATGCATATATTTCAATCCAATGATTAAGTAATGCCCAAAATTTATCAGGTGACCAATGTAAACCAACATACATTAAAAGAAAAACATGTTCACAATGCTTAATTTCATACAAGAAAGACTTTTTTATGTCAATAAAAAGACAATTAACAATATTGTGCTGGACGAGGATTAATGATGACAAAGAGAGTATTCAAGAGCTGGATTACCAGCCTTAGTGCCTCAAAGTAAGCGCCCAAGTAAAAGTGTAGTCATTCAATAAATATTTATCAAGTACCAGGTTCTGCCTGTGCACTTTAATAATTCAAAATAACATTGCTTTCTGTTTTTAAAGATAGAGTCGCCTGCACTGAATGCAGTAATTGCCTTCTTTTACAGTTTGAGCTCTGAAGTCTCCATTTCTTATCTGTAATGGAGATAGATATTCCTTACTGTTTGGGGCCAAGAGGACTGAATGAAATAAGGTAAATGCTTTGTTAACTTTTAACACAAGTCAAACATTAGCTGTACTGATATATTGTTTTAGTGGTCCCTTGGGAAGCAGTAGAACAATCTAAATATATGACCAACTTGCTTTGTAGATATTGAAGGCTATAAAGCAAACTGCAGGAACTGTTTATGTTCCATATACCCATCCTAATGGTCTGGGGCAAGATCAGAAGTGAAATTAGATAGATGCACTGGAACTTTTCAGAGAAAGAGAGAAGGGAAGTGGGAGTTTGGGGTCACATTTTCTTGGTAGGAAGTGAAGGGCCCCCACCAGTAAGATGATGGCAAACTTCCAGCTTCTCTTCAGGGTCCTCAGTTCCCACCGGCGCCACCTGAAGCCCAATCACCTCTCACTCCCCTCCCAATCCCAGCACCTAGCCAACAGCCACCAGCCCCGTAGAAGTGACACCTCAATCAATTCATGCCCCTTCCTATATAACCCAGCACCTTTCCCTAATAAAGCGGAATTCTCTGGTGAATTGCTGGTGTGTGTTGCTCCTTTCCTTTCAGGAAGGGCTACCCAATTGCCTTGTTGATACCCCAAGAATGATAAAAAGTGATGTTAAGTTTCATGGAAAATACTGACAATCAGTCTTCTGAAAAACTATAGAAAATGATAGTATTATTTCTTCAGATAATATATATACTATTCCTAAATACAAAACTCAACTTGCTAAAACCTAATTGTGTTTTCATTTTGTATTGATACTTTGAAGTCTAAGTGTATTATGCTTTGCTAGTCATTAATGTCATTTGGTTTACTAAGACTTGCATATTTAACTGCTTTTAACTTTAAAGAGAAGATTGCAGAGGCATTTTCTTCCTGGTGACTTCACCGAATAAGGGCAAGTGTCCTGTTTTACTGCAGACCTAGATTCCATCTTCTAATTAAGGAATTTTTATAAAATGTGTGCAAATAGCAGACCATTTACAACCATGGGAGATTCTATAGATGCTAAAACAGGATATTGTACCATAAAATACTGAAAATAAAGGTTGTTCTTATCCTTTCCTTCTTCTCAGCCCCAATACCCCCACTCCCATCCCACAAACCTCATAGGGAGAAAACAAGCAAGAGGATGAAAGGTGCCACACGGTGAATGGTAAGTGTAAAGACAAACAACAAATCTGGGGTTCTGGGCAGATGGATCTACATCTATCTCGGATTTTGTTATTTCAGAAAAGATATCCCTCCCCCACTTACTTAAGAAACTGTACAGGTTTGCTGTTATTTGCAGCTAAATATATTCCTAACTGCTACATTAGATATACCATATACAAAAGAAAACTGGCAAAACTCTATTAATATCAGAAAAAATGTATTTTAAGGAATATTAGGGATGTTAAGGACATTATTAGGGATAAAAATGTTATTACCTAATAGTAAAAAAAGAGAACAATTCACAAAGAAGCTAAAATAATTATGAACTCAGTCTCCATATGAGTAATGAAAAAGATCATGGGATTGCTAGAATAAACAAATCCACAATCATACCAATTGACAGAGGAAGCAGAAAACATTTAGTAAGAATACAGATGCTGGAACAATCAGTTATAGCTTGATCTAATGGACATATATAAAACCCTGCACAAAATTAGAGAAGAGAAAATCTTTTCAAGAACACATGGACAATTCATAAAATTGACCATGTTCTGGCTACAGAATAGATGTCAACAGACATCAAAAAACAATCATACAGCTAATGTTCTTTGATAGTATGTTACTACACTGAAGATGTAAGACTCTAGTTCAAAAACAGGTGTTATTATATAACAGCAAACCAAATTTAAAATTTTAATGTAAAAAAATTATCTCTTATAATAGTATCCAAACTAAACAAATCTAAAGAAGAAATATTATGTAAGAGCTTTAGAGAAAACAAAAATGGAAATCCTGTATTAAAAGGCATAAGAGAAGAACTAAGTGAAAGGAACAATTTACCATTTTCATGGATGGTAAAATTCAATTTGTGAAGACAGCAATTCTCAAATTAATCAGTAAGTAAGTGCTCAGCAATTCCAATAAAAATCCCAAAGTTTTTTAATAGAACTTCAGAAGCTGAACCTAACGGAAATACGGAAAAACAAAAGGTCAAGGATAGTTAAGCAATTCTGAAGAATAAAAGAGGAGGACTGTGTCCACTAGCTATCAGTACTTAGTATAAAACTACAGAAATCCAACCAGTGTTATATTGGTAGAGGCAAAGATTAAAAAACAAAAAGTAAGTAACAGAAAAATGAGCAATAAGGTGACACACACACACATTTATAAATGATAAAAGTGTTATTACTTCATCAATGAAGAAAGAAGGTCAATTTAACAAGTGGTACTAGGGAAATTGATTTTTTATATGGAAAATATAAAACTATTTTTATCTCACACCATGAACAAAAATTGTCCATGAACAATAATAAACTGTAGATAGACCAAAGATTTAAATATGAAGAAATATTTTAAAACTTTTATAGTAAATTATAGAAGTGATTCAGATCAGGCTAAGGAAATACTTCTTAAATAAGATATGCAACCACATGCTATCAAGGAAAAGGTGGATACATTGCATATAAAACTTCTTTATGTAAAAAACTCCATAAACAACTGCCATAGACCAGAAGAAGGCACTGGCAACATACAGGTCCAAGAAAAGGCTGTTACTCAGGATACATAAAGTATTCCTATACATTGAGACGGGTGGCCACTTTTTTTTTTTCTTTCTGAAGCCAAAAGATCTGAACAGTGAATTCACAGAAGAGGAAATCCAAATGACCAAAAAACATATGAAAAGATTCTCAATAGTGAAGAAATGCAAATTAAAGCCAAAATGAGAACTACTTCACACCCATGAGAGTGGAAAAATTAAAGTCTGCAAACACCAGATGTTGCCAAGGATGTGTGAAAGTGGGAACTCATACATTACAGGTGGGGGTGTAAATTGGTAAAACCATTCAGGGGAACAATTTGGCAATACTTTACAATGTCGAAGGCGTGCTTTCTCTAAAACACAGTAATCCCACATCCAGGTTTAGTAACACCCTACAGTAACTTGAAGTCAGATTTAATGCAATTAGCAGTTAGCTTTCATCCTCAGCCCAGCCTTAGATCTCATATGGAGGCAGGCTAATGTCTTATCTTCTATATGGGGAGGGAAAAGCAGGCAAGCGGGGATGTGCAGGATGGGTCAGAGTCTCCAATACTTGCCAGCCAGTCTTCTCACTGGGCCAAAGAAATGGATGCCAACCAGGAAATCGCTGGGATGGCTGCTGTTCTTGGAAGTCCTGCTAGCTTCCAAGGCTCAGAATCAGCCCTGTAGTATTAAAAACCTGAGCAGACAAGTACCAGGTGGCTCCAAACTGCAGGCAGGGCTTCCACAGACTAGGAGAGGTTGTGGGGGGACTGAACTTAATCTAAACTTACTGAGACATATGAAGGATGGGACTAATCATACACACTGGATGTAATTTAAGGGGTAACTGTAGGAGCTTCTCATAAGGAGTTATAAAAACAGAGTAAGCCTGTTTTAAAAAATTATTAGAAACAGGACATCAGAGTAAGCATAATGTAATTACCGGTGTAAATGAACTATCTGCTGAATGTTTACTAAAAACATAGGATGATGTTTAAGAGCTGTAGCTTTAATTCCATACAATAAGAAAAGAAAATTCATTATAGTTCTGTAGCCATTTATGGGCTATATGGGTGGATTCCACCTCCAAGACTCCCCTACACTCAACATGCAAAAACACAGTGAGGGAAGCAGAAATGATGAAAAAGAAGGAGCAAGGTTGAGAATTTGGATAAGAGACTTAGAATTAAGGCATTATTTTGGCAAATGGTCAGTCACCCCGATAACATGCAAGAAAAGCGAAACAAAAGGAGTCAGACTACTAAACAGCAAAATGAGACTAACCTGCCATACAAACCAAATTACTTTTCTTCTCAATGTGAAGAAAATCAGCTTGATGCCTTTGGAACTCCAGGGACTGAAATGCCTTTTAGAAGTTATTCACGACTGTTAGGTAGACCAGATGTAGGAAGAGTACATTGGCTCTTGCTCCCAGCTGATATTACCCATCTTAAGAGTGATTTTCCAGGGCTCTGAAAAAAT